CCAAGCGAGGGACGGTGGCTGTGTCGGGGTCTGGAGGAAACGCACACAGTTAGTGGAGAGCCCGCAGCACAGCCCGCCGAGGGCACAAACAACAGCACTGAGAAAACACTTCCTACTCGCGGGCCGGTATGAGGAAGGGACTGAAATTCCTGTTTATTTAATGATTTATTACTCTCTTAGGTTGTTTTCTTCCTTTTTTCTTCTTTTTTTTTTTCTTTCCCTTTTTTTTTTTAAGTGGGTGATTGGGTTTTTGTGGGTTTTTGGTCGTCTCGCTTTAGTATTTTCCTTTGCGTTTTCATACTTCTCTTATATTTTTCTCTAGAAGCAGGGTTTGTGGTACGGCGAAGAATTGCCCCTCGCTTCACACAGATATAAATTGATAAAGCAGACAGATTAGAGTGAGCCTCCTTTTTTCTATACGTTAAACACTTGGTATGGAGCCAGCTAATTACTTCCCACTGCTGAAACTTCTTTGGTGATGTAGCGAGTATCTTTAAAGGAAAAGAAAAGACGGTTCAAACGTATGCAATATTTAAAGAGGGGGTTTTTTTGAGCACCGTTTTGTTGTTTGTTTTCGAAACGAGAGCAAGCACAAAATACCTACGTGCTTGCGGCTCCCGCAGCTTCGAAATGATGATGCTTTGGTTTGAGGAAAATATACCTCCGCCCTACGAGTGAACATGCACATGAGAAAGTATTGGCTTAAATTAAATATCAGCGACAAGAGAGCGAAATACAACGCCACCAGCTGCAATAGGAGCAGTGTCAGTGTCACCAAGTCAGACAGCATTGGCACTATCTTGCGTTTCATTTCTTGATTTAGAAACTGCTTAGGGGAGGAATGGGCGTTGATTGTGAGCAAGCTGGTTTCCCAGCGCAAACAGTAGCCACGCTATTTTTCCAGTACTGTTTGAAGGTGAAAGTATGCCCAAGTATTTGCACTTCAATTTGGAGTCATGTTCATTTGCAAGCCATTTGCAGTTCTGCTGAGTATTTCTTCTCGCACAGGCACCCACCCGCTCTCACACACACACACGCCCTTCCTCAGCTTCCAGTGCAGAGCCTTGCTAATAACATTTTTCATCTATGTACAGAAACGGTTAAGAGTCGTGAACTTCAGTATCTGGATGTGTGCTACTAAAATGGATTTGCGCGAAATAAAACGATCTCTGAGCAAACAGAAACGGTGCAGGGTGACAAAAGTGGGTCTGAAGAGGCTGGTGTACTTTTGTAAGCACGCTTGGGAGCCTTTCTGCTCAAAAACGCCAGTCTTGCCAGATGTTTGAGGGAATATTTCCCCATCCACCATCTTCTGAAAGCTCTTGAGCTGACCAAAAACCGAACATTTACTTATACCCAGCTTCGCATTTGGTATGATGGTTTTTTTTAAGCGAGTAAAGACACGAAATCAAAGTCTACACATGGTAAGCACGCAGTGACTGATATTTTTTAAATCAACATACGAACGTCAAATAAAATGACACACATATTGCTGACAGCTTGTAGTAGAAAGATTTTTTATCACTTACCATTTATGAGTTGATTGGATGAGGATGTCCAGTTTAGGTCATAATATTTTACTACGTTTTTCTTTTTTTTTTTTTGTTCCTTTCCCTCTTTTTTTTTTTTTTTTTGCGTTCAGTTTGTCAGACTGCGAACATCACACAACATTTTATCAATTAATCGTTTGTTTACAGGCACAATTATAAATGAATTAGGTTTACATCATTTCCCGCCCCAGTCTCCACCCCACCCCTAAAAAAAGGAAGGGGGGGGAGAAAGGGGTGAAAAAGAAAGGAAGAAAACCAGGCAGACACACACAAAGACCAGAAAATGGCAAAGAAGGTACATCAGTCCAAAGAGCTGCTGATAGAGAAAGGTCAGGAGACCAACCTGCATCCGTACTTCAACATTTGTAGAAAACCAAAGGAACCGCAGTAGTTTACAGAGTTTATTGCATTATACATGCGAACAGAACATGCACAAGAAGGACATATTGCTGCTGAACGACTACTATTCCACATATGCACCACAAGGAAATGTCTACAATGGAGAAGAAGGAAATATTCCATTTTACGAAGGACAATCTCTAAGTTCATTTGCGAGGATAGTTACATTATAATGTGCTTCTCTTTCCCCCCGCCCCCAAAGT